AATGTTGGAGACCCTCTGCGCCGAGAAAGGCACAGTCAAATCTCACTGCATGACTAGGAAGTGACTCGGCTTTTGTCCTGACAGACCTTCCATTACACGTCATTAGCACTGGATTTGTTTTTGAAATGCGGTTGTCGCATATGCCGTTGTAGATCGACCGCGGAGCGGTCTCCGAGTTCTGGTTCATATACGGTGCTGGAGTGCTGTTGTTATTACGAATGAGCTGAAGCAGTTGCGCCTATATTGCGAAACTTGATAGAAGATCGAACTCCCGGGGCGAACCTGTGGAACTCCTGCAGGGGAAATGTCGAACAATGCTGCATACGCAGTGACGCCGGTGAAAACCACCTCCACATGTACGAACGTTGTGACTATCTATTCTTTGAACAAGACTACCAAACTCAAGGTCTCAGCGCCGAGACAGATTTGCTAATGCTCTATTCCTGTTCAGCATCCAGAACCACATTCCATTTCGCCGCCGGTCTCTGCTCTGGCCTAACCTCCTCCATCCTTCTACAACCCGCAGACCTCCTCAAGACCCGCGTACAACAGTCTCAGAAAACCGCTTCTCTCCTACCTACTATCAAAACGATTCTCTCCTCTCCTCACCCCATCCGCGGTCTATGGCGTGGCACACTTCCTTCGGCCCTTCGAACGGGCTTTGGCTCAGCTCTATATTTCACCAGTCTGAATGCATTACGTCAAGGCTTAGCGCAGACAGAGGCTTCCATGGCCATCGCCGCATCTAGCAGTGATGGAAAATCCCGTACCTCGTCGTCTGCGCTACCCAAATTATCCAACTGGGGAAATCTAGCCACCGGTGCCGTTGCACGCACAGCTGCGGGTTTCGTGATGATGCCGGTCACCGTGCTCAAGGTACGCTATGAATCAGATTATTATGCGTATCGCAGTCTCTACAGTGCAGGGCGCGATATCGTCCGTACAGAAGGTGTACGGGGCCTGTTTTCAGGATTCGGGGCGACTGCAGCGCGGGATGCCCCGTATGCTGGACTTTATGTTCTTTTCTACGAGCAATTGAAACGACGTCTAGCCTCAGTTGCGAGCTCAGAGCAGTCAGAGCAGCCACTCAAATCGACTTCGTCTTCATCCATCAACTTCGTGTCTGGTGGATTGGCTGCCGGGCTGGCCACGGCAATCACTAACCCTTTTGATGCCGTCAAGACCCGTCTGCAGCTCATGCCTGGCAAATACGGGAACATGATACGTGCCGTCCGCTTGATGATTCGCGAGGATGGCGTTCGAAGTCTGTTTGGTGGCTTGGGACTACGCATTACCAGAAAGGCACTCAGCTCAGCACTTGCCTGGACCGTCTATGAGGAGCTGATTCTGCGGGCTGAGGCTCACTGGGCTGAAAAGGACAAGATCGACTTATGATGATAAAATTATGACCTTGCCATACTATATTTTTCCTTCTTTGAGACTTCTCGGTGCTCGTGCAGCAGTTTACAGGCAATTACGGGAAACAGAACATGGCGTTCCATCCTGATATTGAGCTTCTTGTATCATAGATAGCGATGAATATCCCATCTCAACCAGACAATAAGTCACAAGCTCAAAAACTGAGTACAACTTGACGGCTAATAACGTATCATATATCATCAGACATCACAAAAAAAAAGGACACCGTCTTTAGCGAAGAGTAATGGGAGTTGAGGTTGGGCATTCAATGCGAAAAGGCCCAATGCAAAAACAATATGGTATATATTCCAATATACCACGCAAAAAAAATCAACAGGCTCATTATGTGAAAATCCATGCCCTCCGGTTGGGGCTCTTCTTGCGCACAAGGAACATCCTGTCTTTCTTGCGATCATTGACTTTGAGTTCGGTCAGGGTGCTTGAGGTCTCGGTGACGAGCTTCCCTTCGCGTAGTCGCCGAGTGTGGGCGAAGAGCTCTTCCTGCAGGTCTTCAGAGATCCATTGCTTGATGATAATGTAGTTGCCGTCGAGCTATGGGGGGAAAGAGGTCAGTATGGCGCCATCTTTGACGTGCAGTTAGACAGATGCCTTACCTCATCGAAATCCCAAGGCAGGCGATAAGCAATCAGTGTCTCTGGGAGGATATACTTGCGGTGGACCTGCAATCGATTGTGTTAGACTCTTCATGCAATGGCTTGGGCCCGCTGAATCCAGATCACTTACCTTGATCCACGTAGTCTTGTGGTGATCAATCTCCTTTTTCTCCTCTTTTTCCTTTTCCTTTTCCTTTCCCTTTTCCTTTTCCTTTTCTTTCTCCTTCTCCTTTTTCTCTTCCTTGTCTTTCTTCTTCTCCTCTTCCTTGGGCGGATTCTTCTTCTTGTTGATGATGTCCTCAATCTCTGCCTCGGTGTAGCCAAACTCCATCTTTAGTCGAGTCCTGAACTCGCGGTCTTTTCTCTCCTTCTCCTCCCGCTCAGCCATGCGCCTCCGCTCTTCGGCGATCTTCCATTCCTCGATAGCAGCCTGCTTCATGGCCGCCTCTTTCTTCTCACGTTCCATCTGCTCGAGTAGCTGCCTTGCTTGCTCATCGCGGAGCTCCTTCTTGAGACGCTCGCGCTCTTCCTCTTCCTCAATCTTGCGCTGAAGCTCCTTAAGTTTCTCCTCTCGCAGCTTGGCCCGGACTTCTTCCTGCTCCGCAGCCAGACGCTCCGCCTCTTCGAATTTTCGTAGCTTGAAGCGGAACTCGGCCTGCCGCTGTTCCTCCTCCATGCGCTGCTTCTTCTCAAACCGCTCAAGTCGTCTTAGACGATCACTGATCTCATCTTCGTACCAGTTTTCTTCTTCTTTAATAAGTTGAGTCTGGTTGTTCTCATGTTCACCGCGCCGGCGAGCAAGTTCCCGCTCAAGACGTTCGATCTCCATCTGCTGCTTCATAAGCTCGAGGTCCTGGCGTACATCGTTCTTCTCGAGCATCCGTTGATCAATCACCAATTCAAAATCACGTTGGTGACGAGGAGGCGCCTCATGGCGTGGAGAAGCCTCGCGAGACACGCTGGTGCTAGCACGGGGTCGACGGTGCTTTCGGAGAACAGTTTCATCCTCCGACTCGATATCGACTATGGTTGTATCCTCCTGGCGATGCTTGCGGTTCTTGTTGGCACTCCTGTTCGTGCTTTTGTTGCGGGAGACGTTGTTGATATCAACAACGACTGCAGGAGGAGGGGGAGGGGGCTGCAATTCACGGCGGCGCCGAGCGCCCGTTGAAGCGGAGCGATGGATACGGACGTCTTCATGCAAGACAGGACTCAGATAGGTCGTGCTGCTGAAATCAGGATCATAACGATGACGAGAAATAGAACGTCTTCTGACGGAGTGTCTGTGGCGGGGAATGTCCATGGAGACGTCCGACTCTGAGTAGTCTGACTCTGACTCGGTGACTAAACGTGCACGACGAGGCATCTTGATCAGCGCTTGCCTTTGCCTAGGAATTTAAATATATATGTGATCGTGTTGCGTGGCCGAGGCTGACAAGGCTGAACCGCGTGGGGTATCAAAGCGGGGTGGCGCAGGAATCTATATATGAGGTGGGCGGCAGTTGTATAGAGTTGCAAGGACTTGGGGGGAAGGATAGGACATAAGAGAAGAAAAGAAGAGATGAAAGGCAACGACAGAAATAGGACTGGCTCTAAAAAAAATCGACAAGACGAACCAGCCACAGCTTCGCAAAAGCGGGAACGGCCAGCGCTACGAAGATCAGACGAGGATAAATGGATGATGACATTCAGCTGAAGTGGGGGAGGAAGCAGGTTTAAGTATCGCAGGAGACCTCAGACTGAGAGATCATCCCGTCGCCAACGGTCGCAGCCTAACTATGGAGTACTGCTGATTTCTCCTATTTATTTCCCTTTCGCTTACCACTGTGGGTTTGATAACGATAGAAAGACAGCTCCGAATATTGACTCCCCTCGAGATCTAGTGTGCATGCACTATCCCGAGTGCACATTGTCATTGTCGGCGAAACGCCAACTGGCGGCTATAGAAACAATCGACCAGAACGATCTAGATGGGATGAACTGGATGCCAATCTTTACATTTTCGCTGCTTTAGGCGCCTAATCACTTCTAATACAATCCCCAGATCCATATCCAATACTCCACCCTCCTTGTTCCTGATCCAAGGAAACTAATCGGTTGATCCCGCTGTGACCCAAGAGTTATTCCGTGAGGCAACATTCATACTACTTTTGTCAGGATCTTTCTTCAGATGCCATCTGTGTATCCACACATCTGACACTAGGGCGTGACATCCCTCGTGACGGGGATGAGAACACTGGAATCTGGTGCTGTTGCTGCCCGATTGCACATGACGCCACCCACGCAATACTTAGGGGCCGTGATACTAGATTCAGGTGGGCCTGTGGCGGATGAGGGTTCTATCTCCCTTCTTTGCCTTATTTTAAGGTATCAGAGATTTGAGACTACGCGTAGATATGATTAAGCTGCACTTTTGGAGCTGCCTTTTTGCCTGACAGCTCCGTGATCGATGGCTAGTTTATCGGATTTACGGTTGATTGGTCCGGATTCACTTTGCCACAGTTGATGCCCTGCAATGGGCAGAAGTATGACTAAGTGAAGAATACCTCATATATGGTTTTGGTACCGGAACCAGTCATCATTAGATATGGTTCTGATCCACACTATCCCTAGTTGTATCGGTCTCCAGATGAGAAGTGGCCTGCCTTTGTCTAACCCAACCCGATCGGACCCGCTGGACATACTTCATACTCTTGGGTATTCTTCACAAGTAGTTGTACACTCTCCCAAGGAGCGATCGGAGCTGGCCTGTTCAGGGCATCTGTGAGGTCTCATCGCACTTGCGTCTGCTCAACAGCCCTGGTGACCTGACAGATCGAAGCACCTTGCAAATCGTCTAGAGCGTTTTGCTCTCTGCCATACCCTGGGATGTCTCAACTCATCCCAGGCTTTCCCCAGTATATGATTGAGGCAGTTGTTGTCTGCCGACTTGCCGTGCACATGTGATATTGTGTTCAACTTCATTAATCATGCTCGTCCACCGGACTTCAGAATCTGTTCGAGATTTTCGCGACTGTTCTTGTGCGTCATTTCGAGATAATTCAATTTCTTCTCCAGACCCTCGATGTCTGTTTTCAGCTCAGCTGTCTCGGACGCTAACCGCTTATCAACGGCGTCCATCGGAACTGCCACGAACCTAGAGCAAAAGAGGAACAGTCAGCCTCGTCTCGACATCCTCACTCTCTGGGACAGCTAAGTAGCCACGCAGAACCTGTACTCACATTTTCCCAACTCCCTCGTAGACCTTTGTGTCTTTAGATAGCGATCCAATTTCTTTCGATGTCAATTCGAGCAGGCGGATATTCTTCTGCTTTGCCGTGATTTGCGTCTTGGTGACGCCGATCTGCTGCTGCGAGCTGATCGCTCGAGCTTCAATCTCTTGCAGCAACTATAAAACCAGTGTTAGGGGGGCAATATTGTAGAGATATACGCCCGCAGCCAACTCGTACCTTCTGGAGAGCTTCGTTGGGGATAGACATGTCGAGGGCAGATGTACGAGGTGGAGGGGTAGTTGATGAGGGGAAAGGTTCGCGTCCTTCGGATCGATTAATTGGGACGTGTTCAGTATGGTTGCGGTGAGTACTATGAATTTGGGAACTATGAAGGTCTCTCAAGCATGTGTGTTTGTTCGAATTATCCGCGGATCCTCCATGCAGTTAGATGGAGTGGTGAGCGATGCCAATATACAGAGTTGTCCCCTATGATCCCATACTTGGCCTGAGCTCCTCCGATCGCTGGGCGGTAGGACAAATTACCAAATACGGCTACATAGGGCATAGGGTTTGGGCTCCCGGGTGGTACAGATCTATAGTATCTCTCGAGGAACTTATTTTATTTTGCAATAGTTAGATTAGGTAGGATATGAAGATATGCAGATATTGTACCTACTCACTATCTGCTTGTGATCTTATGGATTGATTACAAGTTGAGATTTATCTCGTTGTTGTATGGAGTAGTCAAGATATATATACCCCGGAGAGCCAGAGGTTAGTGCCTAAAGGACAACGACGAGACAAAACAGTGTCGAATAGGTACATTTACAGCTGGTTGTAAAATGGTGCAAATGTTTATACTCCTCCTTTATTTCTGAAGCCCTAGGACTGAGATGAATGGGCCGTAATCCGCGTAGCTTTACCAGTAATGATGAGACGGTATTAAAATATAGAGGTATTGTATGGACGATATGTACTGGGGCCTGCTATGCAAACTAATCAAACCCCCAGGTCTGGCACCAAGTCCTCCGTAGTAGCCTTATATTTTCCTTTCCCCTTCCTTCTTTCTCGCCCCATCCGTCGTCCTTTATACGGTTAGGAACGAAACAGAAACCGAAAGCCGCGTTCAAAATGGAGAATTACCAAAAGATTGAGAAAATTGGCGAAGGTGACGTGATGATGCAGTTATCCAAAGTGGCTGCCTAGTATACTATAACTCACGCATCGATGCTCCCCAGGAACGTACGGTGTCGTCTACAAGGCTCGAGAGGTGAACCACCCAAACCGTGTCGTTGCTCTGAAAAAGATCCGACTTGAGGCTGAGGACGAGGGCGTCCCCAGCACCGCTATTCGGGAAATTTCCCTTCTTAAGGAAATGAAGCACCCGAACGTGGTCCAGTTGTTTAATATTGTATATGTTGACGACTGCAAGCTTTATCTTGTCATGGAGCTACTAGACTGTGACCTAAAGAAATACATGGATGCCCTACCTATCCATGAGGGCGGTCGTGGTAGAACTCTGCCGGACAGATCAATGATGAGCGCCAACCTGGGTCTAGATGGAGCTATGGTGAAGAAGTTCATGGCACAGCTGGTTGAGGGTGTCCGCTACTGCCACAGCCACCGTATCCTGCACCGTGACTTGAAGCCACAGAACTTACTTATTGATCGGGAGGGAAACCTGAAGTTGGGCGATTTCGGACTGGCGCGCGCCTTTGGTGTCCCGTTGCGGACTTATACTCACGAGGTAATAAATGCTAGCCATGAAACGCGTCATTTAAGCCTGCCAGCTAAATATTGTTTCTCTAAGGTGGTTACCCTTTGGTATCGCTCTCCGGAGATTCTGCTCGGTGGACGCCAGTACTCCACCACGGTTGACATGTGGTCTGTTGGAGCTATCTTCGCGGAGATGTGTACGCGCAAGCCACTGTTTCCTGGTGACTCGGAAATTGATCAGATTTTTAAGATCTTCCGGTGCGTAGCTTTTTGCTAGGTCGGGTTGGCCCAATAGAGTTTGACACTTGGTTCTATAGTCTCCTTGGCACCCCAGATGAAGAGATCTGGCCTGGTGTTACCGCGTTGCCAGACTACAAGCCCAGTTTCCCAAAGTGGAGGCGCTCCCCAGCTCCACTGGTCCCAGGATTAGACAGTGCTGGCTGCGAGCTTCTGGATGCCCTGCTTGAATATGATCCAGCTCAGAGGCTATCTGCAAAGCAGGCCTGCATGCACCATTACTTCCGCGATAGCAGCTCAATCTATTCCAGCCGCACCCAGGGCAGTGGCTAACCAATCTCTAGAAAGAGAGCATATCATAACATCATTAATGTTGGATAGTAACTGGTGAATAGATTATTTCATAGTGAAGTCAATACGGACGGCCGAGTGGTCGAAGACCATATCTCTAGTCAGAAACCAAGCAATTTCACCTGAAGGCCAGCATCACCATAGTGGACTAAGTGATCCATTGTTCCCTGCTATTTGTAGTTCGCAACACTTGACCCTAAACACTACTCTCGCACCCTACTCGCATCATTGACCCATTATTTAAACAACTTCTTACTGTCTACCATGCTATTACGTTTATGACAAAGGTCAGAGGTGTGGGGGTTTATATAGAGGGTATCCTTTATGATTTAAATAAAGTAAGTATGCTGGACAGATTCAATTGTAGTAGAACTCGACTGCTCAGAAAAGTGCTGTACCAAAAGGAGCACAGCTGGTTTATCTAATAGAGATCCCTTATAGTTAACCATCCAAGTTTATTGACTAATATGATAATAGGGTAAGTTAAGAAGTCCAAAATATAGTAAAACACATACATCACATAGATCTATATAATGCTCTTTGGCTGTTTATTCTGCAGCCTTGGTGGACAAGTGTTTATGTTTCAAGGAGGATTTTGATGGTTAGTAGATATATATCTACGTGGCAGGAAGGGTACGTAGGTTGTAAAAGAGAATACTACAAGATATAGGTTGTGTAGATATAGGCTGGAGAACATTCAGTCTGTGACCATCTTGTACTCCAAAGCTATGAACATATGAGGACAATTCTAAGGTCAGTAAAGCTAGTGGTCACTAGCACTTATCTAGGTGGTGAGTGTGATCAGAACCAACAACGACATCTCGAAAAGAAGTTCAACCAACAATGTATTTCTGGAAGACTCTGAGAGCCCAAAATAAGTTATTCACCCAACAAAGGAACCAGCAGGAAGAAAGGTACATGTGCACAGGGATTCTGCGGTTGGCCGTCGGACACGATGGCCCATCGCCCCGTTGCTGTGGCAGGGATGTTGGTGGAGACTGTGCTGGAAGCGCAGCCCACTATGGACTATGGAGGCATACATCATCCACGCCTCGCTCTGCATTTCGTTGACCGATCCGAGTGATTCGAAAATAAGATTTCTAGAAAGAAGAAATTGTAAGTGTGCCAAAGTCCCTATGATCATTCATTTTGGGTCGTCGATTCCCTGTGCAGTTACCATCATCCGTCAAAACAATACTAATTGTTTGGTTTACTACATCTATTAGTTATTTGTTGTTAGCCGCCAAAGTTATCGCCTAATTGGCACCGAATCTCCAGAACCATATTTGGAACACCGTTATAATCGTTGACTCCGACAAATATTGGAACAGCTGGGCTGTGATAGGGTCCAGTGGGCGGATCGCAGCCTCTGGCAGCCAGAATGAAGGCTTCATTGTGGATCACGGCCACATTCCTCGCTTCCACGGTCCTATCTATAGAGACATTGCCATTCTCTCCCCCGCAATTCGCAGAAATCAGCAAAAGAGCATACGACGTCTTACAAATCCTGAAGCGCGCCGATAATAATTGCCCGGGGGATTACGATCCTTGCACCAACCTAGGCCATTCGGACGTCTGCTGCAGAAGCGACTCGATCTGCTCTCGAGACGCCGCCGATAATATCGCTTGCTGCCCTACAGGGGCAAAATGCACAGGAAGTCTTACGGGGACGTCCACTGGCACAGGCGCCAGCTTTAGATTCCCTGGAACCGCAACCGCGGCACCGACTACGACTACCAACGACGCTACAATAACGGGCTCTACGCTGACCGGGGCTTATCCGTTCATCTATGTCCCCACCACATTCCCCAATGCAGGCATATGCTCGTCATACTGGTCCGTTTGCCAAAGCGAGTATTCGCAGTGCACCGCGGCACTTGGAGGCCGCTACGGAGTCACCGTCGCAGGAGGCGGTGCAGGAGTCACGGTTGCGGGCGGTGATCCAACGGCCGCCGCGTCTGTTTGCTCGAGTCTGAGTCAAGCTGCTTGCCATGGGCTCAACCTGGCGTACTGCGGCACGTATGCCACGGGGGGAAGTAGCCCGAACATTGCTGTATCTGGCCGAACCTCCAGTCTACAAGACTTAGTTTTTGGTATGGTTGTTGGCGTGGCGGGAATGTTTATTTGAGCCTTTGAGGCACTGAACCATGAGGTCGACAATATGTGACACCCTATTAAGTTTGTCTACGAGGAGTTACAACTGGGCATCGCACACATTGGCCCTGTTATGACGACTCTTTCTCTTTTACGCTTTGGATGACCCATGAAACGATTGACTGATGATATGTACGCATTTATTTTGAAATGGCGCTATGTTTCCCAATATGCTTGTATATAGAAGACGAAATACTTTCATCGATCAACATGACGAGCAAAAACAGATTGACCCGATAACTTCACTTCACTGCCTTATCTCTGACGACCGTCATATTCAAAGGTATTCTGTAGATATGCTGTTCAAGGTTGATCGACTCATTCATTAGGCACGTTATGAAGACCCCTCCTCCCTCAGAATGGACTCGATCAAACGCGGCCTGAACTGGTGGATACAGTGAAATTCAATGCGTTGCCTATGCGCAGGAAATGCCCAATCTCATGCCCAAGATTTTGACTTTCGGATTTCCACGGCATTAGCGTCTCCGGATTGCCTGAAGATGTGTTGTTCCTACATGAGTACGGAGCATATCAGTGTATACACCGCTCTGGCGATTCGAATCCGAACAGCCGACACGTCAGTAAGCCTTGATACTTAGCTAGCACAAGACAGGAGACAAAAGAATCCGTATCAATGAGAAAGAGTTGACGCATTAGAACGCCTGATGTGGACAGTCCTACCGAATACGTCGACCTGATGGCTGATGCAATTAGTTGCTGGCCGATACTAAGGCCGGGTAATTTCTGGGATCTTCTGTTGGTGGAGCTTCTAGACGGTCAATGGCCCGTCTGACGGTCTGAGTAAGTCTCGCCGGCCGTTAAAGTCAGGCGATCAGAAGAGTCGAACGCTGTGACCTAGGAGTGATGCTGTCAGGGACGGCACCCAAAAGAGCGGGGAGGATTTCATGTGAGGGGCAGTGATATGATGCCAATCACACCGACGGATGATGCTCAGTTACTATTAGGGAAGCTGATAGGACAGAACAGGAAAATATGATATAATTCCCAGCCTCCTAGATTTCCAGGCAGTCTCTGAATCTGTATTATTGCAATATATCGTGCGTCAGCTGTGTTGTAGCTATTGGTTGTTAGTATCAGGAAATCCGGTGGTTGGGTTTTGGATGAGAGGAGGCTGGGAGCTGTGCTGAGTCTCGACAGTCAGACCTCCACGAGCTGCCGGGTCGCTCCTCATTCTTCCATTCTTTTCTCTCATAGAAACATTTTTGTTTACTTCGATCATTATCACAAAATTTTTTACATTCCGTTCGTTTCGAAAACCTCGTGGAATCTGCTTTATCGCATTCCTGCTATCGGAACTATCCGAAGTATAGCCTGTCAAAAGTGTCACTGCCTCTGACCTGGTCGACTGCTCAACGAGTGACAGGCTTAAGCTGATTTGGCCAGGAATCGCAGCGAACAGTCCAGGGTGGGCGACTGATCGTTACCTTGCGCCAGCCGTTCAAGCTTCCTCGAAACTGCTCCATCGCCATGAAGACATTTCGTATAGTACGGCCAACGATCTCGATACTGGCTGTTCTGAGTCAGTTGCAACTATCAGCTGCGACACCGCTGGAAGTCGAAGAGGTCAGTCTCGAAGAAGCTAGTCTCGAGAAGCGCTGCGCGAACCCTTGCGGCTATTACAGTCAGCTATGCTGCACCTCCAGCCAGACCTGCGGTACCAACAGTCAGGGACAAGCAGTTTGTTTGGACTCGTCGGGCGGCAGCGGCGGCGGCGGAACTTGGGAATACTATACCACTACCTACGTTATCACCGAGACGGATACCAAAACGATTACTTCTACATGGAGTAGCCTGATACCTACCGCAACAGGCTCGACCAGTTGCAGGACCGACCTTGGCGAAACAGCTTGCGGCAATACATGCTGTGGTGCTGCGTTTGTCTGCGCCAATGATCAATGTATTGTGGGAAGTTCATCGATATGGGTAACAGCCACTGCGACGCCTCCAGTCCGGGGAACGACACAGTCGACTATGACCCAGACTGCAACTGCGACGACCACACAAGGTTTCATTCCACCTGTGGGAACAGACGGCGCAACTTTGATCGGAGTCCATGCGGCCGGAGGAGGACTGAGCGGTGGTGCGATTGCGGGTATAGTCATCGGCGTAATTGCTGGCGTCTTTATCCTGCTCCTGCTATGCGCCTGTATGTGTTGCAAGGGAGCTCTGGACGCCCTGTTCGCCTGCCTTTGTCCTGGTAGAAGGAAGAGAAAGGATACTACATATGTCGAAGAGCGATACCATCACCATGCGCACGGAAGCAAACCCGAAGGGCGTACCTGGTTTGGCACTCGGCCATCCGCCTCAGAAGGCGGCGAAAAGAAGTCCAAATGGGGAAGTCTGGCGACCATTGGCATTATACTCGGCGCTCTTGCATTGTGCCTAGGCTTGAGGAGGCGCAAGGATGAAGACGAGAAGAGTGATTACACTTACCCCAGCTCTTACTATTATTACTCCGACTACTACACGAGCGCAAGTATGTCTCCCTCGCTCCTCAAATTGACCGTCAGAAGCTAACCGTCTTCGTTGTAGGTAGCGAAAGCTCGGATAGGCGAACGAGAGACACAAGACGATCCAGAAAATCTCGCACGCCGCGCTCACGACGATCATAATCTAATGACTTGCTTCCAATGATCCGACGGCGTCTTCGAAAACGAATTCCCCGTCTCCTTTGAATGACTGAGCATTCTCAAGGAGCTCCCCCAACAACTGATAATGCATAGATCGGCGCTGGCCTTGTATGTTATAAGTATGCTTGCTCTTTTTCCATTGTGATATGTGATTTCTGGGACGGACATGTGTGACGATTATCTTCATGTGATTATGTTTTACCTTTATGACTTTGATGGATTGGACGAGAAAAATGATGTAAATATGAGCAACGAATTGGAATGATCCGAGTTATACGGCGATCCCGAAGCCCGGAAGTCCAACAGATCTTAATCAGTGCAGGGTTATTTGACCTGCCGCGACACAAGATGCTATAGGCTCGTCTTGGGACAGATATGGATATATCCGGACCGCAAAGCATCATAAGCTCGAAGCTGAGGAGGGCATCTGGACGCAGGTACCCTTGTAGCCTAACACAGACGCCGATTATGAGTTCATGCATTCTTATCATGATCGCCAAGGGGCATTTTGGATCTCTGATTCCCCAACTTGGCGAGGGTGAGAGCAAGGGCCTTCATAGCCATGCACCTGCCGGACTGACTCGTGCGCCTTTCAGTGTAACCTGCAAGTCGGTACTTTATTTAGGTAGGTTAGGTATTCGAGGAATGTAAGCTTTCAAAACACCTTCCGAACAGCTTAAGAACATTACTTGATGGTGGAAATGAAGCCAGCAGAAAAAAGAGAGATGAGAAGTGAAGGGTTCTTGATGTTATTTTGCAGAGGAAAGCCAAGATCATGGTGCTAGTAGTAGTAACTACCTAGTAGTGGAGGCTCCACAACACACAGGACCCGACCCTTCTTCATCGCCAAAGTCACAAACCCAACTAAACCGCCTAAGCTCAACCTGCGCGCGCTCCCCGCCCGCCTCCCGAAGTCCGAACTTCCCTCTTCAATAACCCTCCTCTATCACTCCCGACTTCTGCTTCCTATTATAACCACAACCTCTACCAGTCAACGCTACATCTGACTCCTGTCAGCAGAGATTTATCCATGAATTACACTTCCGAGTTTCCTGCTTGACAATCTGAACTATCCTATCCTCGCGACGCTTTACCATCTCTATTAGTCGCCTAGGGTACTACGATCCTTCGTCGGCCCGCCATGCTTCAGACACAGTCTCAGCACGTCTTTTCCCACCAGCATCAGTATCCCCAGGCTGATCCTTCTTGGCTGCAGCATCAGCAGCAGCAGCAACAGCCACAGCAACAGCATCATCCGGCCCAGCCCCATCCACACCAAGCCCAACAGCAGCATTCGTCGCTGGTGGCTCAACATGCTCAAGTTCAGGCTGCTGCCGCCGCAGCGGCTGCCGCTCAACAGCAACATTATAATCGCATCGCTATGGCTGGAAACGGTGGTGCTGGGAACGCTGCGCAAGGTGCCGGTGCCGGAGCCTTGAATGGAGAAAACGCTTTGTCCGGTGCGGTGTCGGTCATGGATGGTGGCATCAGCGACGAGAACAGAAAGGTCTTCATTTGGGTTGCAGAGCTGCTTGATCCGAATCGTCGGGAGGCGGCCCTGATGGAACTCAGCAAGAAGAGGGAGCAGGTTCCCGAGTTGGCGCTGGTCATCTGGCATTCATTCGGTATGATCTCAGACTTATCGCCCGTGGTTCTGCGGAGTGCATAACTTGGACGCTCAGTACTAACATTCTCTCCAAGGAGTCATGACCGCTCTGCTCCAGGAAATTATCTCCGTTTACCCCCTGCTGAACCCTTCCCAGTTGACCGCTGCGGCGTCGAATCGAGTTTGCAATGCGCTGGCTCTGTTACAATGTGTTGCCTCTCACAACGAGACTCGCACTCTTTTTCTGAATGGTATTTCCTCACCGTGATTTATTTGCGTACACTGAGAGACAGCATCGCTGATGAGTACGTCGCCTTCTAGCTCACATCCCTCTTTTTCTTTACCCATTTCTCAACACAACTTCGAAGTCTCGACCCTTTGAATACCTGCGACTTACTTCACTGGGAGTCATCGGGGCGTTGGTAAAGAATGATTCGTCCGATGTGATCAACTTCCTCCTAACGACCGAGATCATCCCTCTGTGCCTTCGCATCATGGAGACAGGATCGGAGCTTAGTAAAACCGTCGCCATTTTCATTGTACAGAAAATCCTTCTTGATGATATCGGTCTTGCATATATTTGCGCTACATACGAACGATTTTATGCTGTGGGAACAGTGTTGAGCAATATGGTCACCCAGCTTGTGGAGCAGCAGACTGTGAGATTGCTGAAACATGTTGTCCGCTGCTTCCTTCGGTAAGTCTAGACCTCCGAGTCCCCATATTCTCGCAATGGCCTGCCGATCCGACTCCCATATGCTAATATCGTATCAGACTCAGCGACAACAGCAGGGCTCGCGAAGCTCTACGCCAGTGCCTCCCCGAACCGCTCCGCGACGCCACTTTCTCCTCTGTACTCCGCGACGATGCGGCCACGAAACGCTGCCTTGCACAGCTTCTCATCAATCTCTCTGATAATGTTTCCGACGGCGCTCCAGGAGTCACCATGTAGGCGACGAAAAGTATCCTTCCTCATCTAATATGCTTGGTATATTTGCCACCTTACGACATGCATGGGACGGTTTCTAGGCGAAGACGGATCACACGGCGCAAATAGTGTTCAAAATGGCAATCTCTACACATTGAAACAAGAAGGCAAAGGGAGGGGCATGATCGATGAGGCTATGGTTTCGATTCAAGAAAAGCTCTATTTTTCCTCTATTTTCTTTTCACTTTTTTTTATTGTGATGATCTGAGTTGGTTTCATTTCGGTGACTTGGTGCTTGAGTGATCTTTTGTGTTCGAGTGTATCAATTCTCTGGTTTCCATTTCGTCCTCTTCATTGTTCTTGCCTTCTTGTACGGGTTCTGCTGATCTTTCATTGCAATGGTACAAGGCTCGGTGGCGTGGATATGGTTGGGCGCTATCTTCTCTTTTGCGCATTTCCTTCTCTTCATTCATGATTCTTTTACCAATCCGTATACCATTGAGATAGACCCTCTTTTGAGCAAGAGATACCAATATATATAAGTTTTTGTTCATGATGGATGCTGGTTGAACTGTTTCTCGCGAGATATGCAATTAACTAGTGTTGAGAACTCCAATGTTTGCCCCGGAACTCTGTGGAACAACCCCATTCAATGCATCTTTCCTCTTTTGAATGCTTTATATTTTCATCCTGATTCACAACTTCCCATTTCCTGAGAACTTGACTCTCTGAGCATACAGAAAGACGATCTACTGTGAGTGTGGAGTGCCTTATCGGGTGTAATTAGCCTGGACCACAATCACCTGACGGCGTCCCCAGGTTCGACGCGCCTCCCTCTGAGCTCATCACCCGTCTCGCGCCCTGGAAAAACTTCCGCCGTGTCTGCCCGCCGCCCTTCCAGCCAGGACAATTACAACACTTTCCTGGGGGACGAACTGAAGTCCTTAATACTCATCCAACGCCAATCGGCAATTATCTCACAGATTCAGTTTTCTAAATCTGGGCAGAAGATCAGGTTGTCCCACGCATTGAACCTCGCACCTTCTTGAATTCCCAACTGCGCTGCGGCGCCTTGAATGGTCCTGAATCGCCGCCATGGTATCGCGAAAGCGCACCCGCTCCGAGGTGGACGGTGCTCCGGAGCAGCCTTCTGAAGAAAATGGCTTGCTGAACCGTCTCCGAAATTGCTGGGAGTTTGCGAACCTCATGCAGTATATTGCGATTTTTGGTAAAGTCGTGAAGATTGACGAAGACTTTGGAATTGATGTGAGTGTTATCTTTCCTATGCTCCTGCGCAGCTCCGTATCCCGCGAGCGACGGATTTGTGCTATTTGTCCCCCGTCTTTCTTACAAAAGCTGATTGTTGGTCCTCCCTCCCTTGCTAGGATTTGGAAACCGAATGCCTCAAGCCTGAACCATCGGAAAAGCTCATGGAGATTGGACTTTGTCTTCTTAAATGGGTGTCGTCGCATCGAGGTCTTACGTATGTGGATGGTCTCTTCCTTTCCCTATGTTTCCTCAGCTGACAGGAGGTCTTGAATCTAGGTTCGAGAACTTTGACGAGTATACGCGACGCCAATACAATGCCAAAGCTCCCCACCTGCCCACCCCCTTCGGTTACGACGAGGTCCCGAACAAGTTCTCGGAGTTTGATGTATTTCAAAAGCTTCGTGTTCTCCATCAACTGTCCATTTGGACGTTTTGGAACCCCGATCGCATCCGCGAGAAGATGCCAGAGCAGAAAGAGATTGACCAAACACAATGGGTGGGTAATCTCCCGCCATTAGCTGTCGATCTTGGTCTCCCACAGAAATGCTGATACGTTGCAGCGCATTGAAGAATTAGGCTATGACCGCGAAGGCCGCTACTATTACGTTCTAGATGACAATCGTTTGTACCGTCGCACCGATCCTGATATCCCTCCCCCGAAGCCTGCCAAGTCGAAGCCGAAGAGCCGAAGCGCAAGAGCATCACGAGCCTCCAAACGACGAAAAGTATCAGGCGCGGCGCCGATTGAAGAGTTCGGTGAAGACACTGTCAATGTCGATGACGGCGTCGCTAAAGATCCCTTCGAAAACATGAAGTGGGAATGCATCGCCATTACATTAGAGGACTATAACCGCTTCTTGGACACGATTCGCAAGACCAAAGACCCCGACGAGAAGATATTGCGGGATAGGATCGTGGAGCATGTGCTACCGGTCATCGAGAGGGAGGAAGAAGCTCTACAGCGGAAGCGAGCCAAGCGTGAGAAGGAGCTCTTGAACATGCAGCTGCTTGCAGGCGCCAAACGGTCTGGTCGACTCGCTCAGAAGGCAGAGAGGGAGCGGCAAGAGCGAGAGGCAGCCGAAGCAGCTCGGAAGTACGAGGCGGATTTGGCCGCGGCGCGCAAGGAAGAGGAAAGGCTGAGGAAGATGGAGGAAGAACGACGCACTCGGATGATGACGCGTGAGCAGCGCATCAAAGACCGGGAACGAAAGCGTCTTCTGCATGAAGCCGAGCTTCAGAGAATTGCAGAAGAACAGGAGAGACTTGAAAGGGGTGAGAGCAGGCTGTCAGAAAGGCAGCTTAAGGCTGAAATGGAGAAGCAGAGGAAAAGCTTGGAGGAGCTTCAGTCAGATGATCACTGGATTTTCGACTGTTCAGGTTGTGGAGTCCATGGGGAAAATTGGGTATGAAATGGCCATTCTCGATTGTATCAACCGCACCTTGCTAACAAGGAAACAGGATGATGGCTCACATAGCGTAGCGTGTGAAAAGTGCAATGTATGGCAGCATAGCAAGTGTCTAGGTATTGCACAGCATGATGCCGAGCGCGAAGATTTCCACTTCATCTGTCAGGATTGCAAGCGACGGGAGGAAGAGGCGAAGTTGCCAAAACTCCCACCTTTGAAGTTCAAAATCGGTTCTTCACCACCGTCCGCTGCTGCTCTGGCTACCCACCATCATCAAGACTCGGAAGTAACCAATGCCGCCGCAACAGCACAAATGAGTTCTCCTTCAAAGCCACCGAAGGTAGAACCACACGCTCCATCTTCAAGTACAGCTCAGGCAGTAGCTGGAGTGCCATCATCGCCTGAACGTCCTCCCCAGCACGTCACCCACGGACAGTCAGCTCCTGTTAGCGGCTCTCGGCCTTTATCGTCGCTAATGAAGGGCATGAATGGTTTTGGGCCTTCGTCTCAGGGACTGCCTTCTAAGCTGCCATCCATCTCACAAGCTACGAATCTCCCTCCTATCGGTCGAGGCACCTTTGGTGGCAGTTCTTTGCATTCTGGCCGGCCGTCGTCTGCCCACTCAGCTCAGAGCCCGAGTCTTCCCTCGCCTATTCAGAACCGTCCTTCAATGTCTCCCACCCAGGGCAATCATGATGTTGGTCCGCTTGCGGGATTCCCACCTACAGGTCCCTCGGACGTGTCAGCTCCCTGGACGCCCTTTGGACCACATCGAGCGGCTCCGCGGCCCGACGCTGGCAATAATGCCTCCTTTTCTTCGATCCACAGCGGTCGGCCATCTTTCTCAGCGGCAACTCCTAGTGGCAGCAGGTCCTCGCCCCCGCAGAGCTCGCATGGTGTACCGTTTTCTGGCATCAGCCCAACCAAGCAGTCTCCGCGACCCATGACCTCGGGCAGCCTTGTTGGGGCCCCAATCCTGCCTCCAATTCAGAAACTGGAGCCGAGCCCGAAGTTGATGGGCAGAAGTTCGCCTGACGCGCCCATTCCACCTCCTGTGAAATCTATGACTCCTGAACAGGAAGAGCGTCGGCAAAGGGAAAATGCTCTGATGTTCCAGTCTCAGCCTCACTCCCTGTCTAACGGCCAGTATTCCACCATGTCATCCCCTTCGCTCAATAGGATACCTCCTTTAAGCCCATCAGCTCTTAGTCGGAACAACGAATCACAGTCATAGGCGGCTCGGCAGAACATAAATTAGGTGGTGAATTGGAATTAGGCGTTTATTCTTTGTCGGGTTCAGGTTCCACATTCCATTTTGATATCGGATTTCGTACCACTTTCTACACTGCATCATGGCCGAAGTGTGCTGCATTTCTGGATCTTTCGACAAACAATACCCTTCTTTACCTGAAACAAATTCAAAATCCGCGACGGTGGAGATTTACTAAAATGTTGGCGCTGTTATTCCTCTGATGGGCGAATACTGAGAGGCCGGAAACATCTGCCCCAGCAAATGGACATTATCCAACACCTGCAAACGGAAAAGTCATATTCTTTATTTGACCACCATCTGCGGATCGTCAATTCTAGTCTGCAAGGTTAATTTGACCTCTGAAATATCAGAGGATCGAAGCACTACCTTCGGACGACTTTTGAAATTCCGCATCGGTCGGTCGGCCGATGAGCAGCAATGCCTTTAGGCTTTTTTGACAACATGTCACTGTATCAATTGATCTTCGCTTCTGTCGTACCTGGATACATCTTTTTCTGGCCTGGGCCGGATGGGTTTTTGAATCACATCCACGGAGTTTTGCAATACAGTCAGACGTTGCACTGGGTTAATTGAGGAGTTTATAGAGGTTGACGGATCGGATGGTTCTTTCTGTATGTTTCAATAGATGCGGTTATGGCTTCAGTTTCAAGGCAGAAAATGAACACGCAATCATGACTATTCCTTCAAATTTGCTTCAATTCTATATGGAGCAGTATTGCATTGCCTGGTTGCCCGTTGCCTCAGGCGCAGACTCCAACCATAAAGTCCGAACGAATCCGAACCCCTATCGGGCCAGCTGCATACCTGTCTCAGGTACAATCAAAGGATCCCAGTAAACCAGGGCAGCCTACAATCTATATACCGGTCACCTATAGCGCAGGGGCAACCCCATTCTTGGGCCGAGATGGGATGGCTGCAGCTAAGCAGATAGACAATAGCAAAGACACAGGAATGGGTTTTCTGCGCAGGTAGCAAACAGCGAGACCCTGGCACACCCACTGCGCCGGGAGCAAAGGGTAGAGTCCGTCTGGATCGATTCATGAGCTGGATGGCGCATTTCAAATCGGACTGGATGG